CATATGATCATGTAGCGCGCTCTTCGTTTCTCTGGTTTGACCCTTTACTGTCCGAGCTGTTTTTTTTTTTACATTTCTCCGCTAGCTTAGGAATCTCTCACTGTGCTGGCTTCCGCCCAAAAGTTCATGGCACACAACCCTCTAAGGGCGTCCATGAACTCGCAAGGGGTGCTGGCTCACAGACGGTTTTGAAATTGACTTTTCTGCTGCCCATGCTCGATATCATGTCGGCCTCTTTGCTCCACATGATTTTTGGAGCTTCGGCAATGTACATCTAAGACCGCGTTTCCTATATAGTCCTTCTCACTCTTCTCCGTCTCCATTTTTCAACCACATGTTTTTTTTTTCGGAGGTGATGGGAACTCTGGCGTTCGGCTCGCGCTGCTTCTTCGCGCGATGTATTACCCTCGCTGTTTCTAGCGCCCTTGGGGCGCCAACTGCGGTAAGGTACGTGCGTGGCGCTGCCGACGCCAACCTCTTCACGGATTGGCCCCAACTCGCCATGCACTTTCTTCGGTAATCCAGTTTTCCTCCGCGGCGAATGCATCTCTACTTCACTTAACTCGCGGCCCCCTTCTCAATCATCTTCACCTCCCCCTCCATCATCTACTCCTCAGATAACTAATTCCGGATTGGGACGCTTCAAATGGGCTCAATGGAATTTCCCGCCTCGGACAACACCCCTCATTTGAACTTCAACCATGAATCCCTTGTTTTCTGTTCACCGTGTTCACGCGGGCACTAAAATGTCGAACTGAAGCATTCCTCCCCTCTCATGTACCGCCGACCTGTGCCCAACTGCTTGACGTCTCCTGTAACAACATGGTCGCCCCTCTCCGCGTCGGTCGAACGCGATCGTATTGCCTGCTTCCACCATTCCGCGCGTTGGCCCCAACTCATGTCTTTTTATATCAGGAACCACACAAAAACACCGGCTACCTCAATTGGAATGCTCACTCGAGCCCCATGCTCGTTATTTCCCACTGTCACTCTTTGGCCTGAAATCCTGATAGCTGTGCCATTGGCGGCGCTGTACTGGTTGCCTGCTCGTGGGGTCTCCGTGGGGGTGGCTGGGGAATGGCTTCCCACGCTTGATGGCCCCGCAACGCTGTAGACGGGCCTAGGCAATCACCACTGTTTCGCGAGACCCTATTGCCCCACTGCTGGGAACCGCATTAACTCCAGGGCAAGTTCCAGGTGCCTCCACCGGCTACACGTCGGCGCACTTATGTTGCATTTTTTTCTCAGCCTGGAATCTCTTTTGGCGCTTTTTGCCTGCCAGCTGGAGCTGTGGGAGCATCCCGGCTTCATCCCGTGGTCAATTTTCCTTTCGTGGCATTGTAGAGTCCACCCATCGAACTTAGGAAGGCCACTCGGCGAATCTACTCCGTAACATCCCGGCCGGCATTGAGTTCCGAGTGAGATGATTGGAGTCCCGCTCGACCCTCCCGGGCTTTGAAACTCCGACTTTGTCTCCTTGTGGTGTGTCGTTTCTGTGGATCCTTCTTCACTGCACTGGGCCGCATGTACCCCTTCGTCCAACTGTTGGGCACAAGCCCTCCTTTGGTCCAGCACGCGGGCCCCTTGCCTCCATGGCTGTTGTAAACTCCGTATTTACCTTGACACTTTCCTTTAACATACTGTCCGCATATCATAGGCCCACCTTTGCCTCCATTAGATCCATTGCTGCCCTTGTCTCCCCCTTCCTACAACTCGCAACACTGTGTCCGAAACATCCGCACTTGCAGCACTTAGGTCCTTTCCTCCTGTATCTGTGCCGTTGTGAACAACGTCTGCTCCTTCCTGTCCACTGCGATCGTCTTCATAACCCCAGTCGGTGCCGTCGGTCGACAAGTAACCATCACCATCGACACAGTCCACGGCGTGCCAACACTCGTGGAACTCTCAGATGTTTCACTGTTCGCCGCTGCTCCCAAAACGCCTTCGATGTCCATGGCTCGGGGATCTTCTGACAAAGGGTCAATCCAGACCCGGGTCAGCAAGGAACCGAAAACTGCAATGCAGGAAACAAAAAACTGCACGCAGGTCTTCGCAAACCCGGGTCAGCCAATATGCGCGGCCGCCTCGCGGCCACGAGCGGCTCGCTAACCCGGGTCAGCCAGAAGAGGTCTTCGCAGGATCTTGCAGGATCCGGCGCCGCGGCTGACCCCCGTTTGCACTGACCCCCGTCTCAAGGCTCCCGAATGGCATCGCAGTTTCTGGTGCCGGCATCGAATCTTCTCTTGCGCACCCAGTCCTCGCACTGAACACATAGCTGTTGCTAGTTGTGTGGCGTGGGCAAATCGGGCGTCTTGAAGCCCTCGTGACGCTACCCTTCAAGCCAGGCCCTCTGCACCTCCGCACGGATCATGATGGTCCTCAACGAAACTATGCGGAATGGGAAGTCGAACGATTACGCCGGACCGTACTTCTCAAGCGTTTCCGCCAGTGCCGTCCATCGTTCTACCAGGGTGGCCGCGTCTCCGATTTTCTTCGGTTTGGCCAGGTAAACAGCTAGGCTCATTTCTACTGACAGGATCACCCCTGCAACCGCGGAGACCCCCTTATATCTATATCTCTCTCTCTCTCTATTTCGGTACGCTGGCAGTCCATCGCCTTCTATGAGCTCTTTTCACTTCCCTCGGGGCTCCAGTCCCTCCAATTGGTCATTGAGAATGTACCACATATCCTCGTCTGAGTTGTGTATATCGTCGTCCTCGTGCTCATTTACTATGCTGGCTTTCGCTTATTATGATGTTGTGAACCGGCCGGTAAGACTCCTAAGCATGTCATCCTCACCCTCGTCCTGCAGCGTCCGCCCATCGTCTACAGCTTGTCGCCTATATGTTCAAACGCCTTCCAGTACTGTGGGCTCACCTGTGCCAAGGTGTTCAATAGTTGTTCGCTCCACTCGCAGAATTTGGCTCGGTCACGGCGAACACTTTGAACTGGTGCGCGGCTGTGTATTCGCTGACCAATTTCTGGTGTCCTCCAGAACTGCTTGTGTTTTCCGCTATTGATTCGGTTATCGTCATGACCTGGTTCATCGCGTGTTTCTGCATGCTCATTCGATCCTCGAGGTTCTCGATACTTCACTCAAGTTTGTCAGCCTCTCCTTCTGCGTACACGTTGAGGCACACAATCCTCAGGAGCAAACAATTCATGTTCTGGGTCATCAGTAACACTCCGTAACATTTCTCGTTGGTGACGCTCCTGACTCCTGCTTCGGTCTGCATGTCAATGAACTCGTTCATCCCATCGCGATTAGCTCCGAGTGCCACTTTTTGGCGGGATGCAAATGGGGGGATAATTCCAGGGGGGGAGAGAGGCGCAACCGAGGTACAAATTGTACCTACGCCCCACGGAGAAGGTACAATTTGTACCGACGCCACGCAGACAATGTACAATTTGTACTCTTGACAACGTCCGCGACATGTGCGAGGATGCCAACGGGGGGGAGAAGGTACAAGTTGCATTTGCAACCCGCAAAGAAGGTACAAGTTGTACCCCAACAAAAAGGTACCCGATACTCATCCCCCCATGTCCTGATCCCCCCATCGCAATCCGGCCGAACTTTCACGGAGCAGGCTGGGTTTAGGTTGAACCATTGGCTTCGATCCTGGGGCGTGCTCAGCTCCGGGAGGGTGGCGTGTTGCTGCAGCTGCTGCCATAAACCACGCTCCGCTACCATGCAAATTCCCAAGAAAGAATTCAAGGACGATGTGGCTCAACAGCAGAGCATAACAACTGTACCACTGTTGAGGAGTTCTTGAGCCAAGCGGCAATGATAATTAGAACTGCGCGGCATCCACATGATTCAAAGCTCCTCACACAAACGCTTATCTATGTTCTAACAATACCCCTTCCTCCCCTTCCTCTTCCCCCAAATCTCCTTTCAGGTGGGAGAGGATGATGAGGAGGAGGAGGAGCGAGCGGCCTCGGGGGAGGGCTGATCCGCGTCGGAACAGCGGCGCCTGGCGGGGGCGAAGCCGGCCGCCCCGAGAACTTCTCTGATGGGGTCAGGATGCCCGCGGGAGGCTCGAGACAGCATGGCAAGCCAAACTGATGCTGCCTCTGTTTCTGCTCCTGTGGTAACTCACGGGGGCCTCATACATGCCATCTTGCCGGCACTTCCAAATCGGCGCGCCAACCGCAGCTCACCGGCGCTAAGCAATCGACACGGAATCGGCGCTGTCCCCTCGATGCCAGACACTGGCGCACGCTAGTGCACTCTTGAAGGGGCCCTGGGACGCACAAATAAATTCACAGAAATAAAAAGATTCCCCATATTTTCCCATATTTTCTGGGTTTTGTCTTCCCGCCCAATTCCAATTTTTTCCTATATTTTCCTGGGAATCGACGATGAATTGTGTCTGTGTGTTTTTCCCCTCCTGAACTCTGAAGACGCCAGTTCTGGGGACACACGAGGGTTCCTAAGGTGTGTTCCGAACTTGCTACTATACGCTGCCTCAGAGCTCTCAGCCCTGGTGGCGGCGCACTGTCCGGGACACCCTGCACCCGGCTGCTGGAAGAGTGCAACCCTTTGGGGCAATTGCTGAGTCTGGAGCAGCCTCCCGCACTCCACCACTCAGGATGTGGAGAGGAGGAGGAGGAGGAGGAGGAGGAGGAGGAGGAGAAGGAAGAGGAGGAGGAGGAGGAGGAGGAGGAGGAGGTGGTGGTGGAGGTCAAGGAGGAGGAGGACGAGGAAGAGGAGGAGGAGGAGGAGGTAAAGGAGGAGGAGGAGGAGGAGAGGGGGTCAAGGAGGAGGAGGAGGAGGAGGAGGAGGAGGAAGATGAGGAGGAGGTTGTGGAGGAGGAGGAGGAGGTCGAGGAGGAGGAGGAGCGGCGGCGGCAGCGGCACACGAGGGCGAGGCAGTGGTCGGGCAGGCGGCGGCGGCGGCACCAAAGCAGCGGCAGGGAGCCAGGAGGCGGCCTGCTCCGCCCGGACCTGCTCGATGTTCCTGCTCAGCACGCTGAGCACCTGCTTCCGGCCAGCAGCGCGCAGGCACGCGCTCCCCCTTCCTACGAGACCTATGTTGCATCACAGCAGCAATTCTGCCTCTGGCTTTCGTCCTGGGTTCGGTCTCGTGAAGTGATGAATTTCGTGGTCCTCACGTGGGAAAAAAAACATCACTTCACCAATCTGGGGCCCCTGGGGCCTCCATGGGCCCTGGGGACCAAGATTAGTGACGTGATGGTTTTCGGGCCTCGGACTGCCGTCGGGGAGATACGCTCGGGAATGTTCTGGAGGTCGGGAAGGGGTGTGGCAGAAAGGGGTAATGGTGCTGATCGTGGAAAGGGCGATGCTGTCTGCGATGAATAACATCGCCAAATTCCCCTTGACATGAAAGTCGCACCACACCCCTAAAAATACCATACCCGTCGGAGATCTACTGACCCGGGGCAATCCAAACCCGCTCTGGCTGAACCCCGCTGGCAAAGACCCCCGTCTCAAGGCTCCGAACGTTGGAGATCTGGTCAGAACGTTCCTGCCCGTCCCTCCGCTCCCTCTGCGCCCCCTCCCAACCTTCACCCCCCGTCATCCTCCTCCCCTCCTCCTCCTCCTCCTCCTCCTCCTCCTCCTCCTCCTCCTCCCATTGTCCTCCTCCTCCTCCTCCTCTTCCTCCTCTTCCTCCTCTTCCTCCTCTTCCTCCTCTTCCTCCTCCTCCTCCTCCTCCTCCTCATCCCTGCCTCCTCCTCCTCCTCCTCCTCCCTCCCTCCCTCCCTCCCTGCCTCCCTCCATCCCTCCTTCTTCCTCCTCACTCGTCCCCTTCCCTCCTCTCGCCTCCCGCCTTCTCCTCCCCACAACCCGTCAGAATATCCAAGGACACCCAGCCCCCAATTCTGAGGAGCAACGTTAGCGGAGGACCTGGCCCCGGGGGGGGGGCGGGGAGAAACATCGACCTGGAATCGTCGATACATCGCCAATATATCGGCGATAGGCAGCAGATGGCAAGTCCGAAAGCACCTGGGTGGGATGGGACATCGGGCTCCCATCGGCGATGCATGGGCGAATGGAGGCCCATGCACCCCTGAGCGCATTCCCTCCTTACCATTGCCTCTGAACCTCCCCCCGAGGACCCCCGTGAAACCTCCTCGCCCTCCTCCCTCCCTCGAGGCCCTCGCCCTCCTCCTCGCCCTGCGCCCCGCGCCCAGCTGCCTGCGGCCCGCGACCTCTCATCCCCGAGATGCCCCACCTGCTGCTGCTGCTGCTGCTGCTGCTGCTGCTGCTGCTGCTGCTGCTGCTGCTGAAGCGCTGCGCAACCCCCCGCTGTACTGAAACGGACCGGGATTCGTTTGGAATCTCTGCTGCTGAAGCGCTGCCTAACCCTCCGCTGTACTGAAACGGACCGGGATTCGTTTGGAATCTCTGAGACCTGGCGCCGCGGCCTTCTGAGAGCGTGCAGGGGCGCTACGAGAGCGCTCCGGGACGCTCAGGAGCGATGCACCCCGATCCTGCACCCGAAAAAAATGCTCGGTCGAATCTCTATCGAAAAGAAGACGAGGCTACGCTTTTCGCCCCAAAGGGGCTCTTCGGGCCAAATTGCCTACGGTGCAGCATCGAACGAGCATCGTCGACGATGGAACCCGAGGCGGAGCAGAGAGTTATAACTAAGACGCGGCAAAGACGAGGACAAATCTGGGTGGAGGATCAATCGAGAATCTCGGAGTCTACCGGCTCTAGAGGACGGATGTACAGGGCGCCGCGGCCTGCTCAGAGCCTTCCGGAACGCTCTGAGAGCGTCCCAGTACGCTCTGAAACGGACCAGTCCTCGTCCGATCCCCGTCGGATTCTTCTTGCACTATCGGGAGCGGCCAAGAGGGGGGTGTCCAGGAGGGGGGGTGCAAATCATGACCGGCGGCATGTGCGCGGCCCAGCGGGAGGGACATGGACGCAGTGAAGCAAGCAGAGGCGCCATGAACTCTGGGGAACTATCATGGCCCCCGCCATGGTATCCCCCCCCCAGACATCACCGCCCTCGTCCCCCGATTCTTGCACTACCGCCCTCTCACCCCTTTCCGGAACGCTCTGGATGAAGGGGCCCTGGGACACACAAATACATACACACAAATAAAAAAATGCCCTATATTTTCCCATATGTTCGGGGTTTTTGTCCCCATATTTTCCCATACCTCCTATACGACCACCCTGCGGGTGATAAGGAGGTTGGGGGGGGGAGGGGCCAAGCAATGGGCAACAGTGGTGAATGTTGTTGTGACAATGCCAGTGGAGATAGTTGCGTTGCCGCTCGCTCTTGGGAGCGTTGGTGTCGAGTTGTTTACGTCACCCTTTGCCACACGCACACACACACACACACACCGCACACACACACGCACACGCGCACACGCGGGACACCGCGCCGCCCCGGCCGCCCGGAAGGGAATCATTTCGTCCGGCCGCGCCTCAGCCACACGGGACACCAGCGGGACACCGGCGGGACACCGCGGGCCACCAGCCGCCTGGAAGGGAGTCATTTGGTCCGGCCGCGCCTCAGCCACACGGGACACCAGCGGGACACCGGCGGGACACCGCGGGCCACCGGCCGCCGGAAGGGAGTCATTTGGTCCGGCCGCGCCTCAGCCACAGGAGACTTTCTCTCGCCCGCCCACGCAGCTTCGCCTCGCCCGCAAGGCACGCACGAACACGAAACCGAAATCGATTTCCCGGTAGGGGGGCTCTCCGTTCCACTTCGATCTCACCCCCCAACCTCCGATTTTCTGGGGAATCGCCGATTAATTGTGTCTGTGTGTTTCTTTCCCTCTAGCTCTTAACAGGAAGGGGCCCGCTCCTGACCCGCCGACCCAAAAAAGTGTTCCTTTCCCTCCTGACTGGACAGGACCCATCCGCGTCCGAGCACCGTCCGAACTGCGGCCCCCCCCGTGGAGCCTCCCGAGCGGGCCGCCGGTGGAGCCTCTCGTGGCGCCCCTCGTGCGCGCGTGGTTTCGTGCGCGCCGCGCACTTCGGGCGCTTGCCCCCCCCCCCCCCCCGGCACGCGCACCAAGACTCTCACGGCCTGAATGCGGTTCCTCCTCGGCCTCCCCTTCCCTCCTCCTCCTCCTCCTCCTCCTCCTCCTCCTCCTCTTCCCTTCCTCCTCCTTCTCCTCGTCCTCTCCCCCCCCTCCTCCTCCTCGTCCTCCTCCTCCTCCCCTCTCCTCCTCCTCCTCTCTCCCTTCTCCTCCTTCTCCTCGGCCTCCTCCTCCTACCCTCCTCCTCCTCCTCCTCCTCTCCTCCTCCTCCTCCTCCTCCTCCTCCTCCTCCTCCTCCTCTCCTACTTCTCCCATCCCTCCTTTTCCTTCCTCCTCCTCTCCTCCTCTCCTCCTCCTCCTCTACCTCCTCCTCCTCATCATCATCATCACTCATCGATCATCATCATCATCATCATCATCATCATCATCATCATCATCATCATCATCATCATCATCTCATCATCATCATCATCATCATCATCATCATCATCATCATCATCATCATCATCATCATCATCATCATCATCATCATCATCATCATCATCAGCATCATCATCATCATCAGCATCAGCATCATCATCATCATCATCCCCCTCCCCCTGCTTGTCCTCCTGGCGGCTCCAACTCCCTCTCCTCCAGCGCGGCCCCGACTGCTGCCGCTGCGCCTCCTCCGCTGCTGGCGGTGCCGCAAGCCGGGCTGACCGGGCGTGCTGGACCATATACAGCTCCTCGCGCCTTGTTATGGCCCCCCTCCGTGTGGAGGCCCCATGACAAATTAATTTCCTAGCCGTTGTAGCGCACGGCGGGAAGCCAAGCTTCAAAAGAGCAAGCTTGAAGCTTCGGCCTTAGGCTGCAGCTTCAGCCCGTCGGTTTTGTTCATCCAGTTTGTCTGATCTGGTGTGAGTTTAGTGCCGAAGCGTTGGCTTAGAATCCGGGCGGGAATGGTTCAGGCGAAGTCCAGGCAGGCAGCGCCGCCAACCACTATGACAGCAAAACAGTTCCAACTGATTGGACGGGGAATCCACCATGCTAGACCAGGCCAGCAAGAAGAGGAGGAGGAGGAGGAGGAGGAGGAGGAGGAGGAGGAGGAGGGGGAGCGTGTGGGATCATGTGTCTTACCACACACGTGGTTTCATCGCAAACCAATCATGGCACAGAGGGGTGACCACGTCGCCGGCGACTCGCAGCCTAAGCGTGACGGCTGGTGCGTGAGGGGAACTTCAAACGGCCTCAAACTTGCCGAAACACCTAGCACACGCAGGGGAGTGGACACAAGGCCCCATGGGATTCACGGGTCACCAAATGCGCGACCCCCGTGCGCGTGTGACCCAAATCCAGTGCTACGGGCGCTGCTGACGCCACCAGCGGCAAGGCGAGGACGCCAAGCCGTTTGGTTCACAAGAACACGGCTGGTTACACCTCACCCACCTGGCGACGAACGCTCCTAACAGTGTGCCTCGTGGAATGTGTGTGCGTGTGGCACTGACACTGTGAGAACAGGTGCCACCCTCCCCCCCCACGGGAAAGGAGGAGGAGGAGGGGGAGCAGAGAGACAGAGAGAGAGAAACACATGAAAAACGAGAGAGAGAGAGAGAAATAAAAAAGAAAGAAAGCAACACTAAAGAAAGAGAAAAAGAGAGGGAGGCCAGAGCTCCTCTCACCTCGTCGCGCTGATGCTCGCGCCTTCGTGGGTGGTGCCTGGGATCGGCGGGCCGAGGCGCGGAAGGGGCCGACCGGGCACGGCCAGCGCGGGCGCGAGCGAGGGCGAAGGAGCGAGCTGCCGCGCGGTCGAAGAGGGCCCGTCGGGGCGGGGCGCCGCAAAGGGGCCATTGGCCCTGTTCGTGGGCGTGGCGCGGGGGCCCCCCCTCGCCACCTGCAGATCTGGTGCTCGCGCTGTCAGGCCTCTGCTCTCCTGCCTGGGGCTCTGCAGCGTCGTCCGCACCTCGCTCCTGCATGCCCGAGCTCCGCAGGCTGCCTCTGCACGCTCTCCCGGAGCGCTCCGCTGCGATCCTGCTCTTAGGGGCCCTGCGCAGGCCTGACGACAGCTTGAGAGGTCCTCCTCCTCCTCCTCCTCCTCCTCCTCCTCCTCCTCCTCCTCCTCCTCCTCCTCCTCCTCCTCCTCCTCCCCCTCCTCCCCCTCCTCCCCCTCCTCCCCCTCCTCCCATATCCTCGGGAGCCTTGAGACGGGAGTCAATGCAAACGGGGGTCAGCGAGGGCACCAGATCCTGCAGGATCCTGCGAAGCCGCCCCTTGTGGCTGACCCGGATCAGCGAGCCGCTCGTGGCCGCGAGGCGGCCGCGCGTATTGGCTGACCCGGGTTTGCGAAGACCTGCGCTGCCGTTTTTTTTGTCCTGCAGTGCAATTTTTGGCTTCTTGCCGACCCGGGTCTGGATTGACCCGGGTCAGAAGACCCCCGCATGGGGCCTTTCCGTTGAGAAAGGGGGCGCGGTGCAGAGTGGGTCCTCCTGGGGCCCTCCGGAGGTCTCCTAGGCACTCCCGAGGCCGCCATGGGCCCTCCTGGAGCCTCTGGGGGCCTCTAAGAAGCCTCTCGCGGGGGCTGAAAAATGACGACAATGTGAGATCCTGCAGACTCTGGCGGAGACGGATGCAAGCTCTCCGGGTGTTGTCTGCGGCGTGCGTCGTCCAGGCGCCAGGCCGTTCGCGCGTCCTCGTGCCCTCGGCCGGCACGCTCCGGGGGGCCCGCACCCGGACCTTCCTCGACACCTGCCGTGGTGCAACCACGTGGCCCGTCGCGCAGCTGCGCGAGATCGACGTCGGGAGGTGGAAGGTCGAGGCCCGCTGTGCCTCTGATGGTCATGGTGCTTGTCTTGGCCTCCTGGATCGCCGTCGCGACCATGGCTGGCTCCGCCTCGACATCCGGGGCGGAAGGCACCCAGGACACGTCCGGCGGTCGAGTCTTGAGGCCCACGACGGAAGGCGGAAAGTTTCCAACAGCGGTCTCTCGTCTGCGGTGCCCTCGCAGATTGGCGTTAGGTGAACCTGTCCAGGGACTACACTGATGGATGAAGGCACGTCTTCAAAGTCGAGCTCTCGTCGGGATCCTCTTCTGATGGGAACCATGCTTCAGCCCGAACTTGCAAGTTCCAGCAGTTCACGCGTTGAGGGCATGATGCGCTTCGAAGCCGAGCTGGAATCCCCCTTCACGAGCTTTTTTATGTATGAAGTTGGCCATGATCAGCAGCCACAGATCTGGAGGCTGGTTCAGAATCGCGCCCTCGCTTCTCACACTGCGTGCACCCTTCTTAGGCGCCTACCAGGTACACGTACATGGAGGTTAGATAAAGCAGTCCCTCACTAATCGGTCGTGGTCTGGCAAGTCCCTCGGCCGGATCTCGACTCAACCGTTAATTCATACACGCGGGGTTCTCATCGTTCCAGTCTCGCCACTTCTTGAGGCAAAACAGCGGGTGCTGACTCCTCCAACCGTACCCAATCGCGAACTTCCGAGACCTTCAACAGGTGGCAAGATTGTGTGACCCTCCTCTTTCCAATGGGCACTGTTCTTTACATACATAGACTTGGGACGGGAGGACTCTTGCGGCAGTCATGATGTACCGGGTTTGTTCAAGTTCTGCGCCCCCCCTTTCCCCCTTACATGATTCTACCGAAGCGGTGGCCATTGCCATGAAAGCCCAAGCGCAGCGCCGACGAGACGGACAGGTATGGCAAGCAAAAGAAACCAAGTGAATGACAAAATCTGGCGGACTTGAAACAATACAGAAGAAACTGAACGTTGGACAGACCAACGAGGAGACAAACATCAACCATACAGGGCAGCTGCAAGTTGCAAACCTGCAACGGGGCACCGTCGCCACAAACCTGGCTCGAAGCTCTGCTGCTCAACACCACCAGCGCAACTCAACCAAAACGAGGGGCGTAAACGTGAAAAAGGGACAGGCCGTGATGAGTAGGGAAAAAACTAGAGCGCAGGCTGTTGTGAAAGTTGAACGGTTTATAGTAAGACTCTCTTCTTCTGGGTCTGATGCTTGGCAACCTCACAAGATCCTGGTGGTAACCCTTGCTGCCATTTCCTTAACTGTTGCTTGCCATAATGATTCAACCATGTGGTGCACTGCCCTTCAATGCCGCGCTGCTTGGGTACAGACACACCGTGCTCCCAATCCCCTTATGATCGGCCAAGTTGTGGGGAATGTGGTGGTCATGGCCGTTGATGGTGCCTTTTTGCCAGCGCCATGACCAAACTCCTGAACAAGCCCCGTACGGGCACTTCCGCCACAACTGCCGCAACGGACCTGGGGACCGACCCCAAAAACGGTGCTCGTTGGAGGCCAGGGGGCGCGGAGGAGGAGGAGGAGGAGGAGGAGGCAAGGGCCACTAGGTCTGCGAAGCGCGACTAGTTTCGCACCCACGTGACGGCCCTAGACTACGCGGACAAGAGGCCAGGGTCGCCCCACACCTCCTTCTTGTTGTCCCCAACGCGGGTCCAGCTGAAGGGAGGTGGCACAATAGAAATGGGGTACTTGCATTGCAAATGTCTTGCGCCAGATACGT